CGTTATGACCTTTAAGGATTTATCTTTAGTCATGACAACCCCAGTTTTATTTATTTATCTACGTATTATTAAACTTGTATGCTGCCTGACAGGGCAGCTCACAACAATCAAAACAAAGAAATTACAATAAAACCAGCTGTCCTAGAGGAGTGAGAAAGCTGAGCCCAAGAAGTTATTCAGGCAAAGGAGACATGCCATCCTAAAGGGGGTGGAGCTAAGACCCCTGAAATCAAGGCAATCTCAGAATCTGGGCTCACCCATTCCTTCTTGCGACTGTGGGTGGTGAAGTCATAAATGGGGATCTTCACGCTTTTCCCTTGCTTGAGTTTTTTGAGAGTGGCGATGATCAGGTCAAAATCAAAGGCGTCGGGGTGGTCAAAGTTGAAATCATTGCTGGCAGCCAGTTCCTGCTGCTCTTTCGTCAGAACCTGTGCCAAAAAAAGAGATTTGTGGGACGGGGGCATTGAACAGCCCAACAGAAGCAATGGCCGGTGATCAAGATGACTCAACAGGTAGATTTTCTTTATTGATTTCAAACATCAGCCCTACCTTTCATGCTTGGCCTCACCAGGAGGTGTGCAAACTTAAAACCCTTTCATATAACTTAAAGAATTGTAAAGCAAACAGAGGCATCTTGAAACAGGCATACTAGGCAGTCACCATGAATAGGCAGCCAAGGGAAATAAATCAATAGCAGTGGATTAAGAGCAGGGAGACCCGGGTTCGAGTCCCTCCACCGCATTGGAACTTCCCTTGATCCACCAAGAAGGCTGTGGTAGGAAAAAGTGGAGGAGATAATGCTATGTATCAGGGATGTCCATTAGGCAGGGTCAAAAAAGTCAACCGGGCGCCACAACGATGTGATCGAACCTCCACATAAAAACGGATGCCACCATCTTGATTTTTTTGACCATCTCCTGCAGGCATTTGTTAGGGCTCCTGCAAGGAAGGCCAGACTGCAGTAATAAAAATATTCAGCACGTATATCAAGAGATGGAACGACTGACTGGTAGCCCATCTATGTCAACCCAACTGTGTTTGGATATCCTTTTAATTCATTGCTTGTATTTTCAGAACCTTCTTGCAAACTGACTGGAGGGGAAACAGCTGAGAAAGATGCCACAGGGATCGATCCTGGTTTGGCACTGGGCATTTTATTATGGCAGTTCCCCAAAGTTTGGTCCCAGAGGCGCAGGATTTCAACATCCAGGACGCCATGGCAAGCAGAGCCATCGATCTAAAAGAAAGACCCAGTGACGTTCCTGCTCTTTCTACAGTATGGGAAGATCCCATGCCTGACTATTGCCCTGGTTTTGCCTACTTTTGGGGTGCACAGCTTAGGTTCCCAGGGCCGTCTGCATCCCTCAAAATCTTGGGGGTAACTCCCATCCTTCCTAAAGTTATGTGTTTGTTTAAACAATTTCTATATATTTACTTATTTAAACAATCTCATGGTAGTGACACTGGGCCAGCGATTCTCAACCTTAGCAACTTGAAGTTGTGTGGACTTCAATTCCCAGAATTCCCCAGCCAGCCATGCTTAACTTTTAATGTGACACAAGGCAAACCTTCCTAAATATATGGGAAATAATATTAACGCTATTTAAACCATTTGTTTCATTGCCTTTATATTTCAATGAAACCAAACTGAGTTTCTGTCCTGGCCTTTTTGAAATCCAGCCCCTTGCTCCATCACGCCAAGGTAGCCCTCCACTCTCTCTGACTGGGTTAGAAACCTTACAGGCGGTTTCCTACTGGCTTCATTCACACATTGGTGGATTTCTACAATACGGTGAGCTTCACTGCTGTCCTAACCTTGGTTAGGATGTCTTGTGGCCACTCAAAAAAAAGGGGGGCCAGTCAGACCCGGTTTAATGTTAGACAGGAGACTAAGAGGAAGGCCAGAGCCGCATGGTAGACTGGAAGTTAGAATAAGTTAATATAAAGTCATACTGTTGCCCAGAAAACAACAGGAACGCACCAATTTAATCACCAGGATTCAGGCGGGGCTCGCGTTACTCATCCAAGCCTTCAGGTACCCACACCCTGAGCCATCCAAGGGGACGATTCACAATCCTGGCCCTTTCATCCTGCCCGCCTGGGCTTTCCAACACCAGGGGCACCTCCGCAGCTCTGCTCACCTTGTAGAAGGAGTCCATGGAGAGCAAGACCACCCACGGCACGTCCAGCGCCTCGATGATCATCCTCGCCACCGTGGTCTTCCCGGAAGCGCTGCCACCCCCAGGCCTGAAGAGGAGCGAAGCAGAAGGCAGAATGGCGAGAAAACGGAGGGCTGGCTGGGGAGGGAGGGAGGGAGGGAGGG